CAGGTTAGGTTGCCTTGGTAAACTACACGCTAATAAATATTAAATAAGCAAGTAATGCCAGAATGTTATGATCGTTAATCAGTGAACATTAATAACTGGGCAGCAGTAGCTCAGTCTGTAGGGACTGTGGGTTGGGAATCAGAGGGTTGCTGGTTCAAATCCCAGTGCTGACCAACATATGAAAGTTAGTTGTTGGCGAGTTGCCAGGTCACTTCCCAAGTACTACCAAGGTGCTTTTGAGCAAGTCACCCAGTCCCCAACTGCTCAGGCACTCTTTCATGTGCAGCCCCTCACTGTGGCATCTCTCCATTAATGCATATCCACAGATCCTGTTTGTGCATTTGTGTGTATTTCAAGCCTCTCTCTTTTAGAAGCATGTCTCTCAATAAAAACAAACATGTTTCAAAAGAAACACTTTCAACCCTGAACATTTGTAGCCGCCCCGGCAGAAAACTGTACATTCTGTGTGCGCTTAACAAAGTGATTTAAATGCAATCCATCATCGTGATGAAAGGCACTAGGACATAAGGGGCCACGTTAAAAGAAACTTGAATTATCCATTAAACAATACCTATCCTCTGAGCACATCCTTGTGGGGGCAAAACGGCATCAATATTCTGACTGGTAAGGCAATGTGTCTCATTAAACCTGATTTAAATTCACCAAAGACCTGCGCTGGAAATAGCCTAATCTAATTTTCAGGAAAGAGAATCTCACATCCATTTGAAGCATTGCCTGGAATCTGAGCTCTGTCTTCTTAGTTGATCCCGAAACTACTGAATTAAAGAGGCTCCAACCGAATCAGTCAACAATAACATGTTGTTTTCCGTGGGTCTGTGGATTGAATAAAATAAATAAAAGTCAGTTGCATGATAGATCTGACGCTCTTTTAAGGTATGCTGTGATTCATTATTTGGAGTCAAAAGGCTTTGTGTCCCCTAGTCTTTAATACATCATTGAGCGTGTATGTAAAGCTAGTTTATAATCAGATGTGGTTCTCCACATGTTGGACACTAGAGGCATAACACGCTGAATAACTGATGTAACATGTCTGATGTCGGAGTTCACTTTCCAGCCCCGACTGCCTTTTGGCTTTCATCCTGTCTCCTGTCTCTCTGGCCCTCCAGCCAAAAAGCACGAGCAGGGCCGATGCTGTTGAGTTTAGTAGCTGAGGGCCCCAAAGGTTTATCCGTCTTTCCCATTCAACTCATGACGGATGGACAGCCATGAGTTTGCAGGATTTCTGAACTTTTAAGGTGTGCTTGACGAAATGTAATGTCCATAAAACACTTTTTTCTTGCTCGTTTCATCCATCATAGAAAAATAATTGCAAATGAAACTTAATGTAATGTGACATAACACCCCAAATAAAAAAAAGTTTGGACATTGTGTAAAATGTAATTTAAAAACACAGTGTGATGATTGCAAAACATTGAAACCACATACTACTTATACTTCTTATTGTTTCCCTTTTAATTTGCTCATTTATCTTCTTACAGCCTCAATCCTCTTGGTCTCAACCTAAGAACCTTGTCCTGGGTTCCTGTGTTGCCTGAGTTTATACAAGTTATTATGTTGCTTGAATTCTGATGATGTTTTGGTTCCGATGCTGGTCGGGTTTTTGTTTGGGGTTTTGTTGATGTTGGTTGGGTGTTTAAAGCACTTTGTAAACCATTGCATTTGAATGTGCTATACGATCGAATTTCTCTCTGGGATTAATAAAATATTTGTGATACAGGGCGGCTGTGGCTCAGTTGGTAGCGTCGTCACCTCTCAACCAGAATGTCAAGGGTTCAATCCCCCAGCTGAGCAACATGCCTGATGGTTCTTAGGAAAGACTCTTAACCCTGCATAGCTTCGGTGGCAGTGTATGAATCGATTAGTGTTGTACTTACTCTCTAATGCACACTGCTTTGGATAAAAGCTAAGTGAATTGGATACAAATGAAGTTATCATAAATGATCTAAATTATCACAAAAACAACAGATTAAATGTTGAAAGTGAGAAATGATGTGCCCATCTCGACATGCCAGAAAATGTTTTAAAAAAAAGTCTGACAGTCCTGTTTACCAGCATGATGTTGTAAATGTTTTTAAAGACGATCTGAGCATTTTAGGAGTAAACATGATGAGACCAGTTTCTGAGATTTCCAAAGTGGAATGCTTTATCATTCTCCTTTAATGTAGGGTTTGAGTTCAGGGTCCACTCTGTCTAATTTAACACTCCCATAATGACCCAAACATTTTCACTGGGTGAAAAGCTGGGTTTGCAGGCTGGCCAGTTAAGCAACCAAACTCTTTCACCACGGGGCCACGCTGTTGTCATACGTCCAGAGTGCGGTTCCACATTGTCTTGCTGAAATAAGCAAGTCCTTCCTTGAAAAAGAAGCTATCTATATGGCAGCATATTTTCCTCCAAAACCTGTATCCATGGTTCAGCATTAAAGGAGCCTTTTCAATGTGCATTTAACAATGCCTAGTGCGCTAATGCACCATCATCAGAGATACTGGCTTTTAAACTGTGCAATGTCAGTGTTGGGTAGTCCCTGTGTGCATTCAAGAAAGAAAACTTAAATTTAGTTTAACAAAAAATGTAACAATATGTCAGTTTATAGAGAATACGCATTAATAAGCATATGAGCTCAGCCTGAAAATGTCTGTGGTTAGTGAGATCTTTTGAGGACGTAGGTGTTTACTTGAATGGTTAGAAATGTGTATAACTGCAGGGTATCTAATCACAGTTAGTTCTGAAAAAATAGATAAGGTTCCAGCCCAGGAGCACAGTCACCGGCCAGAAATGTCCAGATGTTTCCCTTATAAGGTCTCTGATGAAGCGCTCTGCAGAAACACAAAGTCCTGAGGTTGTCAAATGTTTGATGGATTCATCCTAGTTGTGTTACGTCAAAAGAAGACGGCAAATAGATGAATACAAATAGTAATAATAAAAATAAGATCAGTTTCATCAGAAGCGGGGCTAATTCGATAATTAATATGAATGACATGTAAGACATGATGTCCCAGATCATGCATTTTGTGTATTGTTCAGGTGTGGACTCTTCAGACCTCAGTGCTCCTATCGAAGAGACCGTCTTCTTCTTTTAGATACTACACTAACAAGCTGCATGGTCCCCCTTTTCTTCAGTGCAGACGACACAGCTTCCGGTATCAACAAACAGATTTATACATTTTGGCAACTCAGACTCCAGGACAGTTTCCCACCTCGCCTCAGTCCATCTAAAATGTGCCTTAAAGAAGAGAAGGCAGCGATTTTTCTGGAGCTGGTTAATATGCTGTTCTATCTTTGCATGGTAGAGTTTCAGATAAGATTTGTGAATGCAGCAAAGTGTGGTGCAAAAAAACAAAGTTTTTTGGAAGTGTTCCTGAGTGCCTGTGCAGTGATGTCTGCTACAGAGTCATGTCTGTTTCTAATGCTGTCAGAGATAATGGTTTTCTGCCTTGGCTAATGCATACAGAGATGTCTTCTTATTTTCTAAATCTGTTAATGATATTTTAAACTAATTGTAGACGATGAAATCCAAAGATCCTTTTTACGTTAAAAAGATGTTCCCGTCAGGTGTTTTTATTTCCAACTTTTCCACTCTTTTGACCACACTCTCCTAACTTTTTTTTTTCATCAAATTGGAAATGGGCAAATCATTTTCCAAAAACAACAAAAAGTCTGAGTTGAAAGATTTTCCAAGTTGTCTTTGTGCTACTTTCAAACAAATGTTTTGTAAATCACAAAACATTTGTTTTTATTCACAAAAAGGGGTTGTTTTTGGAATTACAACATTTTTTTTTCTCACTTTTTCAATTTAGAAATCAATATCAAAATCTTAATGACGATTGATAGTAGGTTCAGTCGCTCAGTCAACTCATCCATACAATCCCTATAAATCAGATAAGCTGGGAGTTTTAGCTTTAACACTTCAAAACAATCATTCAGGTTTATTGATTTATTGTTTGTTAGCTTCTTGAAGCAGGAACATTTAAAATAATTGTTTTTGATTGTTGAGGAAGTAAGCATTTCCATTATGGTGACCGCCATTGTTGGGCCTCCTGATAATAAGCCAATGGGTGATGTCACTGTGCTACGTCCATGATATGAATCAAAAATCAAATCATCATATGAAAATCAGAACTCATAGTGATAATAGTGGTGAAAATGATGTGAAATGTGAAATAAATTCAGTTAAAATTTGATATGCATGAGCTAATTGTATCAGTTTTAATTTATCTTCTCAAAGGATGTTTTAATTAAGAAAAGCAAAGTCAAGTAAATAAACCTGTTAATCGTCTCAGGCCACAGGAACAATCTCAGAATAGGAGGTCCCAATTAAAGATAATTACTCCCAAAGTGAGTCTAAAGTGGACACGCAGTCAATCGAGACTTTAGACTTTAATTAAACCCACTTTAGACGCCTTCAACACATCAGAAATACCTCCTCTGGTTTGAAAAGCAAATACACACAAGCACAAGGAGTTAGATAGAATCACATGAACGGCTTGAGTCTGCTGATTAGAGAAAAATATTAGATTTATCCAATGTGTCCTGAGATGCACCGAAATGCAAAATGATGGAGCTACGGTGGACCCAGGTTGCCTCCCCTTATTGAATTGTTGTAAGTGGACGCAATTAAAAGGATCTTGTGGTGCTTTTTTACACTTATCACATTAACAAAGGAAGGAATCCATCCTTCTAAAAACAACATATCATTTTCTCAGTGCACAATTTGAATAGAAAGCTTGACTGTTTTTCATTTTCAAAAAGCTTCATTCAAATGTGAATAACCACCTGCACCTAAGTACACAATTTAGATAGTGTCAAGAAGGCATCTAAATAGCATTCGGCAAGTAATACAAAACATGAATAGTTTCCATAAAATCAAGCCCTTGTGAAAACATTGTTGGCCTCAGAAGGAGAGGCAACCTCAGCTGCTTCGTGACAGTGAAAAATAAAAAGGCAGTAACCTCAGACTCACACCTCTGTCCCTCTCTCACCTGTTTATTCATGAAGACGTAGATGACCGGGTTGATGACTGTGCTCGTCTTGGCCAGGACCGAGGGGATGATGCTGGCCTCAGGCGTGACCAGGCCCGGCGGCCCGAAGGTGGCGAGCAGGGACATGATGCCGTACGGCAGCCAGCACAGCAAATAGCAGATCACCATAATCACCACCATGAATAACACCCGCTGCTCACGTTTCTTGCTCATAGATGCGTTTATACCGCTCACCTGGAGACAGAAAGGGAAAATGAAGAGGAGGAGGATGAGAAATAAGACTGCAATAAAGGAAAAAATCTTCTGTCTCTGTGTTCAGACATAAAGGTTTTTGACTTCTGCTTCTACCGGGCATTTGAATTTTCCCCAAAGGCAGAGAGCTGTTAGAAGAGAAGTCTGGGGAGTGAGATGCAAGAGCGACACAATAGAGTGCAGGTCAGACAGGTTGAAGTGAGAGACTGAAGGTTGTACAGAGAGAGCAGACAGAAGAGGAGGCAGAGAAAGCCATCTCAACATCTACAGAAGGACTCTAATCAGTGAGCAGACAGAGGAAGGAGAACAGAGAGAGCACACTTCTCCCTGAACACTGGATTTACCCAAAATCTTGACAGTCTCAAATACAGTCTCATCAGAATCAAGTAGAGCCTGACCAATTAATCGTGCTTGTATTAGTGGCTATATGTATCAGCTACTTTTATCGCAGATTTGCACCGACATTACCAGATTATTCACCAGTCAAAAACTATTTCTTTGTATTACACTAGCAGTTCTCTTTGATCAGTAGATTACCCGCTGTATGGATTACAAGCATTATCACTCTCCAGAGTGTCAAGCGGTGATTCACGAACAGTGACGTGCGGTGAGGTTCGTGGCTGGTGAGGCACTGACTTTTTCAGAGTCAGATTTACAAATATATGAACCCATTTATAGAGTAGCTTAAACTCACCATTCAATTGGCAGCTTGCACATTGACTACTGGTTGTGTTTCATATCTCATATCAGCATTATTTACACAAACACATAGAGGTAAGGCGCCTATTTGGCCAAGGAAGAAAGTTACATTTATAGCGCCTCAGAATTTTTTTTCCCATTGCAATTCCACAATTCATACTCATTCAATAAAAATAAAAGTAGGCCTATATACTGCGGTGTATTCATGGTCTTACCATTACTTATATCTGTGACTTTGTTGTAAAAGTCCTCATTATCTTCTTGACTCAATCTTTGAGCTTACATATAAAATCTTCCTCTTTTTTAAATAAAAATTCTGCATAGAAGAGGAGCAACATCAAACAAAGCATTAACTCTTGGCCTTATGAGCCTCACGCAACCTGACGCACGCCCTCTTCAGTTGAGGCAGAGGTACTGGCTGCCTCACCTCATGCTTTTTCAATGCGGTTTCATGTCAAATCAGAAAGACTAAATATGTTATAAACACACGTGAAATACATTACTTATTCTATGGAAAGTGAGAACGTATAACAAAAGTGTCTGCAAACATTATATCGGTGACAAACAGTAAGAAAGCAAAAGGCATACGCTCGACCCAGTTTGTGAGGGATTGCGCAATCTGGGATGAGGCACAATTCGTCGCTGCCTCATCTTGCATGTCTCCGGTGGAGCCGGCCGGAAATATGCGAATTCAGCGATTTTGATCATGAAAATGATTGAAATTTTTGGAATCGTACAGAAATAACATTTATAACACAGATCAGTAGAAAAAATTTATATTTATTTTATTTAATCATTATTTGTTTGTCCTTGTGGCTCTGCCTCACCTGCCTCCCCTGACTGCACGTCTCTGTTCACGTACATACACAGTTACTTTCCAGTTGAATTTATCAATCTCTACAGATCGAAGATAGATCTGATCAGAATATCAGCTAATACATCAGTATCAGAATTTTTTGTTTTTTACCCAAAAATACCAAATCGGTCGGGTCCTAGACTAAAGTATTCAACATAATTGCGTATTATATCTGATTTTAAGACTATAGGCAAGACAGCAAATCAGATTATTTACTGAAATGTCAAGTTATTTAATAACTGCTGAAAGAGGGGGAAACATCAAATCTCTAGTAAGTGGTTTGACAGGGCAAGAAACACGGGCAGCTCTGATTATATTATTTGGAGGAAAAGACGGAGCTGTCCATCACTGATTATGGTTTTCAGGTTCAACCTATACTATGTAACTTTAGTAAACACTGTGCAATCATGAGTAAGAATCCCTGGCTAAACTGTCAGTTTGTTTACAATGATTATGACAGTCTGACAGCTCGTATTTCTTGACTGTTATTATAAATGATGTGAATAACATGAACTATGAAAAAAACCAAGTAAGAATTTTTGGCAATATAACCAAAACAATGTAACCCTATTAGAGATGTGTGTACGTGCCAACACATGCATGCAGTTGTCTTTTGACAGTGACACACATGAACGACACAGAAAATGCGAACAGAACTTTTTTCACTTGGGCTCCCAACTCTGCCAACTCAAGCAGTCGCCCTTTGTATCTCTATCTGATGGCCACTTGCCAGCAGCTGTCACTCATTTTCATCGCCATGGGGACGCTCACAGACATGGAGGCACTTTCATAACAGCAGGTTTTCTTTTTTGTGTTAGGGAGGTGAAGTGAGGTGGAGGCACTCTAAGAAAGTTGATGCACGCTGCACATTGTTGCACGTATACAAGCCTATCACTCAGAGTAGGAAAAAAACAACAACATGACCAAGACAGACAAAGATATCGAAATGTCCAGTGATAAGTCATCAGCACAGCTAATCATGCAGAAAATATATTCATCGCTCCATCACAATCTCTGCTGGCTCCCAAATGAAACTGGCATATTTGCATGAGTCTCCTCCACAAAGAGATATATTCATCTACACATATGTATGGTAGGTATGTTTATGTATGCTGTGAGAGCCCATAGGATACTGTATGACACTGTATGTGTAAATGTTCTTCTCCTGCATTTTTCACTTCACATTATAGTGTATGCTGTATTTCTGTAGACCCCAATGCTGCCACTCATATTCTAGCATTTGCATTAATATATACACATTAATATGGAACTCGGCTTCCACCAGAGTGGCAGAGTATTCACATTACTGCCACAATGTGACACAGAGCAAATAACTGATTTTTTTTGTGGCAGACTAATCAAGCCATGGAGGTGATTGACAGTCTCTTTACATTTAGCTCATTTACCCCCAAGAGTCCTTCACAACTCTACTAATTGGAATTTAGGGTGTGTTCAGACAAAACTTCTTTGGACCACTTTGTTCCAACTCTGGAGTGTTTACTGTCTCAGTTTAGTTTCTTTTTTTTTCTCAGGCTAACTGTGTCAGGAGCTCACATCTGGACTTTTTTTTTTAAACAATAGGTCCTTCATTTCAGAGAGAATTATGCAAATCAGGCTTCTCAAAGCAGATTGTATCAGCTGTGGTTAGCAAATTCAGCTCTATGAGTGGAAACGTTTCAAGCTGAGTACCAAAATACTGAAAATGCTATAAAATCCAGCAAAAAGACAGATAAAATGATAAATTTAAAAAGGGGCACCAATAGCCTAGTGGATATGTCATGCGCCCCATGTATGGAGGCTATAGTTCTCAATGCAGTGACCATGGGTATATTCCCCCCCACTCTCTCCTTCCAAACTTCCTGTCTCTCTTCAGCGGTCCTACCTAATAAAGGCCAAAGGACTCAACAAAAAACATAAAAAAATAAAAACAAATGATTTATTACTTTTAGTCAAAGAGCCTTACTTTATATAGAATTGTAGGTTGTCTGACAGAAATTATTGTATATTAAATTGGGCTGTCAAATTAATCGTGAGTAAACACTGAATTCAATAGTTAATTGCAATTACCGGTAATCTCATTTTTGCAGATGTTTCAATTTTAACAAGGGATGGAAAGTGTTTCAGATGAGGACAGAACAATGTGATCACCAAATGCCACAGGGTAAAGAGTTTGGCTGAGTGCTGGAGACTGAATTCACCAAAGCTGAAACTTTAAGTGGCATTAACTCTGGTATGATTATAACCAGGGCCAGATTGAAAACAGTGTGAACATACTGCACAGTATACTCCATGGACATGCCTCTTCTGGAATTTTCTCCTAAGATGTTACATTATGATAGGATTACCACTTTGCTAATTTAATAACACATGCTGACATTAGCAATCTATGTCTCATGATTGGCTCTTGTTTTGTATTTTGTATGTTTTCAGACTTTAGATTTCCTTTTTTTTTGTCTCATTTTTCCCTGGTGATGTTTGTTTCCCTTGTGTTTTTTAATTTAATAGTTTGTACTAAAGTGTTTCTTGTTTTATTTGGTAATTTCTTATCCTTGTGTTTCTCTATGTCCTGTGTGTATTGTTGCGGTTCCATTCTTGAGTTCTCTTTTGGTCTTTAGTGTTTCCTGTTTTATTTTGTAGTTCTTGTGTTTCTGGTCTTACTTCCTCTTCTTGTCTGGTTTCCCTCCCATTTTGATTGGCCTGATTGTCTTCACCTGTGTCTGTTTACACCTGGGTCTATTTAGTCTCAGTGAATTACTTCCCTCTTGCTGTCAGTTCACTTGTGTTTTGTGTGATGTTCCCAGAGATTGCTTGTCGTCTTCTGTTTTGATTTACCGTTTTCGATGGATCTTTGAATCTGGACATTTAAGAAAGTAAGTTTGTTTTTTCCTTTTTGTTTAAATGAACGTTTTAGTTTTTGTCTGCAATTTGGTCCAGTTGCTTATTTTTCCTTAATGTGACACTAATGCTCGAGGCCAAAATGATAAACTATCTGTATGAAAATAAATTTAAAAATCTACCCAGTTTCTCTCCATTTTCAATACTTCAACATGAAGAAAAATTCAAAGCTCGACAGGTCTGCTGTGCCTAGTTGCCACTGTTATGATTGGACAAATAGCTGTTTTGGAGAGGGGTTCAGCGAGCGGTAAATTGCAGCAAAGAGCGGAGACAGGTCTATCAAACTGAAGCCACTGGGACTAACTGAATTTTTTTTGACTCCCTCTGCTATCAAATGTAACTTGGCAGGAAAACAGTGGGAAAAAAATCCAATAAACAAACTCCTGAGGAGATGATTTGGGTTTTTTTGCTTAGAAAATACCTGTGTAAAGTCATACAAACAAATACAAGACAACTTCAAACATCAGGCAATATGTCTAAAAACTGCTATAGCTTTACTGTCAAATGTGACATTCAAATGCTAACTGTATGCAGGAGCTATCCTGGCACATTGCAGGTCTAGGAGTACACAGAGTACACATTTTCTTCTTTCTACTGCCAACAAATTAAAAGTGAGATGTGTTTTTAGAATTTCCTTGAAAAGTTTTACTTTATTGTCAGCTCTGTCCCCAACCCTGCAGACGTTCTCATGTCGTCAGCTATAGAGAAAAGACATCTAATGGCTTCAATCTTGGCTTTCAGTAAATAAAGGAAGTGGCAGAAACCACAGAAAGATTGAGAAAATAAATGGAGAGTAATTGCAGAATGATTGTGATCAGAGCTGGGCGGTTGGTGAAAGGAGCTAGCTTAGTAATTGACTGCCTATACAGAGAAACTGTTTCATATGCTAAGCATCAGTCCCCAAAGTCCCATAATTAATGTGTTGGCCATGTGGCTGCACAAATCTGTTGCCCCCTTTTGTCATTATGTAAAAGACTACAAGCTTGCTAATGAGGATCAAAACAATGGTATGGTTTTTACGATGGACAACGATGTTGCACCAAGTAAGCAGTCAAATGAGAACAGAAGCCCCTTTCTTTTCAGCCCAGCACTGTCACAGTTTGAAATTAAGTTAGATTATGGGAAGTGGTCCAGCGCGGCGTTGATGCTCACAGACAGAGACGACAGGGAAATAAGTGTAATGATGGGAAAACCTTTCAAGAGAGAATATCTTCACAGCCATCGCTAACTAAATGAAATATCTGATGGCCAATTTTCTCTGCGACGACGGAAGGAGCGTTGTCTCCTCTTGTGTCCCTGGGTGGGATGTCAGTTACTCGAACAAATCATCTGGCCAGCATGCTGCAATGTAAAAGTTTACTTTGAACCAAAACGAAAGAAAAAGACAGGAAATATAATGACGTTTAAAGTGTCTCAACAAAGAAATGCCTTATATACTCTCATCATGTTTGGTTTTGTCTTTGTGCTCTCAGAAAGCTTGCCTTGTTACTTTCTGCATGTGAGTATAATCAGATTACATGTGTACAGAATAAATGTATTTCTCTGCTAGGCAAAGAACTGTTTTTCATAACCATAATCAGATTAGTGGCATAAGTGTCCTGGTATGACAGCAGAACATTTTGCCAGAGTAATTCAGCAAAATCAAATTCAACAATCATCATTTTATCAGACTTGTGCCTTTCCCCGCTGTCACAAGTCAAAATGTCTGCTAAGCGAAAGCCAATTTAGGCCATTTCCATATGTACCAAACATTAAACATTCTAAACACAGCTGCATATTCTGTCCCTTAAAACGCTGCTGACTCAATGAGTGTGAGGCTTATGATCTTTACTAAGACCAGTCACCAGGGGGCTTGAGAGAAGCTTTGGCTTCATCTTTGGTGAACTATCTGACAGCCTGTCCTCACAGCATGTGACACTAGCAAGCCTCAGAAACAGAATCAGCTCGATTCTACTGTTTACTATTAGAGTGTCCTGACTGTCTGCAAGCAGGCAGCCCAACACCGGTTTTGAACGAGTAAGGAAGGGGCTCTGCAAGGCACTGGTACAGAGCTTGTTAGCTTGTTTTACGAAGTGGAGACAGTGATGCAATTTTTATACCCAGATCTGTGATTGAAGTGTTGTGCTTTTATGTCAATGCTGGAGACATTTTTTTGGCTCACCGTGAGACATTTATTAATGAGCGCTGTTGTGATTTAAGTCAACAGCTCATCAATATAAAGCACTAGACGTCATACGGTCTGCAAGGGGAAACTGAAATTCACAGCGCAAAGAATGAACTTTTAAACCGATGCAGTGTTGACAGCCAGCGTCCGATGCTGCACGACCATATCTCACACTTGCGTGCTGTTATGGCAAGGTGTAAGATACAGTAAGCTAAAATGTTCTGTTTTGTGTGAAAATAATTGAATTCTACACAGTAGAGAAAGTGCATGTATGCATCTCCCTTATTTTCATTGAGAAATGTTCCCCTGAAGACGATATGTCAGACAGCAGCAGAGCAGGTTGAAATCTAATGTGGTCGCCTACCTCACTGACAGACATCAGCTGAACAGAGTGTTGGAGCAGTCTACTGACTGCAATCTGCTCCGGGCTCTCTTGTCATTGCTCATGCATTGTGTACAACACGTACTCCAAAACCGCCTCCCTTCACTGACAATAACGACATAATTATCCTTCCTAATGTTTCACCCTGCATTATCAAATGGAAACCACCATACACAGGTGTAAAGATTCCATGGCTTTGTGTTCTCTGCCTGTCAAAATGATTGACATGTTCATAATACCTTGTCCTGACAATTAAAGTTGTTTAAATGTAAATATCAGACTTAACTGCGAGTGGTTCAGCAGTGTTCATCTCTCACTTAAAATGATGCCCACCAAGATGTCCCTGTTTAGTTTTTGTCCACTTAACATGAATCAGCATTAGTGTTTCTACTGAAAAGAACATCAATTGCCTTAGATATTAGGTCAAGTCAGAAAAAGTTGCCTTTTTTCCTTAAGTCCTTAAATTTATGTAAAACTCTGCATTTCAGGCTGTTTAAGTGTAACTTGCTTAAAACATAGATGTGTCAAACAGTGATTGCCGGTTTGGCCAGCTCTACTTCATTCTGCCTGTTTTGCCATTTTAGATGAAACTGAAGTTGACATCAAGAACCTGCTTTCAATATGTCTCATGCACGCCGTCCCTCTGAGGGAAAGACAGTCGCTGTGTGGTCTTGGGCTGTCACTCTGACATCTTCCATGGAAATTTCCTGTCTGTAGGCAAAAGCCATCTATTCTAATCGCGGCATGTCTCATGTAAGAGGATGAATAATGATGTGTGAAGCTACTGAGACGGAAAAACTGGATAGTGTGGCTTGTCACTTGAGAAATCTGACAGTTACACTTTCCTGTAGGCATTTAGCTATTCACTCTCTATGTTCAGAAGAGGCTCTTACAATGATTGGACGGTAAAATCACTTTCGTACAAGCATTTCTTTAAAAATCAAGCACTGGCTGGAAGTGAGCTCTCCTTGTGGCACATGCTGTACTTTTTGGAGAGATTTTTAAATGAGAGGCTGTTTAGCTGAAAAGCAGAATGTATATAGAGTTATTTCACACTAAATAGACGGAGAAATCTGAGTGAAAAGAAATGATGACCAGGTCGTCCCTGCTGGAGAATGTTGCACAATTTACTGGATGGGCTGCATGATTCAGCCCATTGTTGCCACTCCATTATTTTCAGATTTGCTGGAGGAGGGAATAGTCAAAAGGCATGCACGAATTGGTGGAATCATGGATAAGTTTCGGTTAAAAAGAATATGTCAGCAGCCGGACTGGAGTTGGTCCTGCAGTGTTCAGAGCAGGGGAGGATTAAAGTTTGAGCATGGCTCAGTCCTGGCTGTGGAAATATCAGATTTATGGATTTTTGGGGGGGAGAGCACACTCCCATACTTGGGTTGTGTCTGTATTGTGGACTCTGCATGACAGGTCCTTGTCTAGAGTGCAGTCAGAGCTCCAGGCAGGAGTCGTTATAGTGTTGTCAGCGGTGATGGAGAAGTCTAGTGGGGGGGGGAGTGCAGGAGAGTCCAAACATCCATCCTTTCAAAGTTTTTAGGATTGTTTATTTTTTTTCAAGGAGTAATACACACTGAGAAAAAAAGATAGAAAAACAGACTTGAAATGATTTTAAGGCTTTGATGTTAGTAATTAATCTACAAGGTTTAGCTTTTATTGACCGTGTCTGAATGACAAACATCCATCTTAACTGTTCAGACAAATGGACACATAAATGGAAATATAAAGGTTAACATTTATATTGGGCCTTTTTTGCTAAAGCTAAATCAATACGAATAAATGTTGACTCGATTTGGATTGCTTGCCAACGCTTGTTTCCACTGCTCTGCAGAGTTGGCCATAAAGCTGTGGTTTATGTGGACAGGGACACGAGGACAGGCTGGGTCACGAGGAAATACATTTTATAGGAAACTATTTCCTCCAAAGTTAGCCATAATTGACTTTTGCTTGACAGTAACACAAAGGACATTACATTCTCCTTTGTACGTCATTTCAACTTCAACTGCTTTCACTTCACTCGGCGTCTCAGGTCTCTTAAAAGCTTTCCTTTAAATTGACACATCGAACCATTCCATGTGCCATTTTTTCACCTTTGATCAAAGAAACTTAACTTTTAAGTGTAACTGTGTGAGTCAAATCTTGGTCTACTCCCACACTATGTGTTTCTACCATGCAAGAAAATAACTGGACAGAATTCTTTGCGTTCTCAGGACCTCTTTATCCTCTCTGTCCCAAATGCTCAAACAGAGTTGGAAAAAGAGCTCAAGAAGCTGGTGTCCTTAAAAGTTGAATCTAAAACGAAAGACTTGGAAGCAGATTCTACAGGATGTTGATGTTTTTAGCTTGACTGCATGAATGACTGACTCCCAGATTTGACTCATAGATGGTTCTCTTTGAATGCAAATGTGAGTGTTTTGTAAATTTTATTTCGTCTCCCATCGTGTCTCTGTAACTTTGTTGCGTTTTTGCTGTTGACTTGGCCAAAAATTGTGCTTACACCTTGGCTGACACTTCAACCGACATCTTTTTCATTCACTTGAAATATCCTTAAATACAGTTAAACCCAGTATTGGAAGAATGTGCAGAACCTTCTCACAATCACGTTATTCCCTTAAATTATATAGTCGGAAAGCTACTATGGATTTGGGTGTCCAATGTCTGTCACCTGTCACCTAAACTTCCACCTTGTCTGGGCTAATACTACAGCTATTACCTCATGTGAGAACCTTCTTTGAGTTTGTTCTAAATACTTGATCTAACACTTATTTCTCCCTTGACTGACTCCTCAAGCTCAATTCAATTAATCATGGCGGTGGCGCAATGGAAAATAACAGTTCTAACTACTTCAAAGCAGTGATGAAAATCTCCAATTATGGTCTTCGATATAATAAGCAGTGTGGAACTTCAGTCCCAGTATGTATTTGTTTTCCGATGGATGTCCTCTCTGCAGCCTTATACAACACTGGTGGGATCAGCAGCTATTTCAGGGTAATCAAATAGTCTCATTAGCTTAATAATGGTAAAAAGAGCTGCAAGAAGCCATGTGAGGTTATATAGACTTTATAGACTTGAACCAGAGTTTTTTTCTTATTGCCTTCTGAGGTTGGCCAAGATGGATTTTAGATCGCAGTTGATTATTTTATTGTATTGTGACTAGATTCTTGTTTTATTCCAGTGATATATGTTTTAGTGTGGATCTTTCAATCTTTCTTAATCCAACCATTAACGGTGAATAATGGACATAGCCACCGTGACACCATCCATCGGTTTCCTCGACTGCGTAAATGACGGCTTGAGTTAGCCATTTAGCCCCCGCCATGTTTGTCTTCCGGGGTCAGAACTGAAACATATTTGTCAGACAGCAAGGAGCTGGAGAGAAGAAGAGGGTCAACACAGTTAGCACTCAAGGCTGATTCATTAGCTGGTGAATTAGCTTGTGGTTCCCAATAAGTAATTGTTCTACTTAAGGTGGCTGACTGAACCTTTATTCATTAGACTAGAATCCAAGCAAGCTTTTTGAACGTAGGCTTCTCACTTCCCCCCAGTAACAGAGCGGGTGATGACCTATACATAAGTAACTTCAGATAACTGGTCTTCTCCTCACTACAGTCCACCATAATCTGTCTTGGGAAAACATAAATATTCCTGACTTGCCAGCAATGAAAAGTGAAATGAACACTAAAAAAGGCATGTACGGAGAGCGCAGCATAACTACAGTTTTTTGCTAGAATGTCTTTACAATAAAGAATTTTGCTCACAGGAACTTCTTGGCAATAGCTTAGCGCTATGAATCACTCAAAGTCGTCTTCTTATAGTCCAATTTTTGTGAAATAATCCACAGAATCCTCAAATATGGGCTAAAGGGTTAAGTTCAGTAACTGAACTGTCAACTGGGACAGGGGCATCCCTGCATCACACAATAATAGTAGAACAAAAAAAAAAAAAAAAAAAATATATATATATATATATATATATATATATATATATGAATAACAAAACACACACACAGACAGAAGCATAGGGCACTTCATCCATATACAAAGTTGTTATTACGGTAGTTCCTCCTGTCTCTGTTTTGTGTTAACACATTGTCGCGTCTCCCATATAGTATAGCTCTTGTCATGTCTCTCACATGTCTTGTATTGTTCTGCATCACTTAACAATATAATTTAAAAAATAACTGAACTGTCTACGTTAATAAATAGCAGACAGCCAGCAGGATCGGACTGTCACTCAAACAAGGACTTTTTACAATAAAACTGCTGAGTTATATAGAAATCTGTACAGTCTGTACAGGTCTCATAAATAGAGAAATGAGCTTCACTGAAATAGTTCTTTGTACCAGACTGTAAACACTTTAATAATTAACATTTTAACATGGGGTCTTATTGGGATTTTGTGTCTTTTTCAGAGGCAGTCTCAAGTGGACACTCAAAGAAATGCTGTTGTTTTTCACACCTGCATTGGCTTCATTTTTTAAACACCAGCAGATGCAGCTTTAGCCAGAGTCGATTTGTTTGGGTGTTTTTGGAGGAGGATCAGGGCAGTCTGTTTGATGCAAGGCCAGCAGGCATGCGTGAGACCCCCAGTGTGGAGGATAAGTCACCTCCATCATGTTCCAAACACAGAAATCTGATCTGCAGGTGGTTGGAGGAGGCAGAATGACAGCCATATGGACACAGTCATCAGGTAAGACAGAAATAAACTAATTCACAGCTCTGATTATGATTCTATTTCAGGAACTGCTCCCACAAGTGCCTCAGCATGTCATGTAGACAGACGCTCAGTAATTCATGTGTGTCTGAGAGCAGAATGCATTTTAAGAGAACATTTTGAAATCAAGGTTTCAAATACTATTACACATCTTAAAAAATGTATTGATTTAATTCCCCAATATTATTGTCACAGGTGTGGGGAAAACAAGGGGAGGTGGACCCAAGTGCAGAATAACCAAAAACTATTTATTTAAACAAAAAGGCCAAAACTAAAACTTTCTATCAAAATGTCCAAACTGAAAATCCCAAAAAACTGATAAGCACTGAGAAACACTAGGAAACACTAACACTCCAACATACGACAAACAACACTGGCAACTTACAACAATGATCTGACAACACGAGGGAAGGAACACAGAGACTAAATAGACACACGGGTAATCAAACATCAGGCATAAAGCATCATCACACAGCTGTAAAATCGACATGTTGACTACTCAACACACACATTGACTAGTCGACACGTTTGTGCAACCCCTCATGTCTGTGTCTGTTTGACCCTCAATACTAAAAATTCTAAATAGGCTAAATAAGATCAAACATTTGGAAAAGATAAGAATTTAAAAGCATGATCAGCAATACCAAAATGTTACTTAAGAAAAAAATAGAATATGGTTTGTGATGTTGACATTTTCAGTAAAGGATTCTCTTCTCTCTCTCTCTGTCAAGGCCACCTGGAGCTCTGTAATACCTGTTTGTTTTTCTGCCTGAAAAGGCATCCATTTGTTTCTTTGCCGCTTTGAGTTTGAGCTCATGGTGTTTTTAGCCATTTCTCTGTAAATAATTGAAGGACTATTGTCTAGACCTGCTCAAATTGTAAAATGTCATGAGACAACTATTTTTTTTTTTTTTAAGAAGGCGCATCGACGTCTGTTTTGTATCAGAAAACTCTCTCGTCTTCACATTGATAAAACTTAGATGATTTTGTTTTATAGAATCAATATATTTTTCATTGAATCAATTATTTTGTTTCACGGGCGGTAACCTGTCCTCTAAAAATAAATAATGCACTTAATAAAATTGTCTCATGGGTGAGCAAACTTATAGGTCAGTCTCTATTCAACCTGTCAGATCTTTATTCTTTACAGCTGCAGCGTAAGGCGAGCTGTATTCTCCATCTCCTCATCCTTTAAATCGGGAGTTTCAGATTCTCCCCTCTGGCTGTCGGTTTGCTACTGCTAATGAGAGAATAAAACACTGTGGAAATGCTTTTGTACCTCCTTGAATTTGTATTGTTATGTGTTGCATGTATCCTTGGAATACAGAATCTCCTAAGAAATGTACCTTTCTTTGTACTAACAAAGAGACCTTGATGTGGCACCATTTAATGTAAAATAATTGACTTGACTCTCCTATAGGCTCCATCTCACCACTGTGCATTGTCTAAGATAGAAAGATTTAAAAAAGGAGATAGGAAGGAAGAAAAAATGGTGTCGCAAATGAGGGGAGAGTGAGAGAGCAATACAAATAAGCTTCAGCTGGACCTGTAACATTTGAAATCTGAGCAGAATTGTGATGGGTAACACCTGTATCAGTAAAAGGATTTTTATGTTGACCCAAAACCAAAGCAACTTTAATGTCTGAGCTCCTCACCCTATCTCTAAGTCTGAGCCGAGCCCCCCTTATGATCTCATTCTTTTGGTCATAGCTCATGACCATAGGTGAGGGTTGGGACGAAGAGCGACCGGTAAATTGCGAGCATTGCCTTCAGGCTCAGCTCCTTCTTCACCTCTGGCATAACGCCTGCATAACCCTGACCCCCATGTCTCTCCTTGTGTGAGGTGGGCCTACATGTAAAAAGGCTGATTGCTACACCTTTAAATGTAACTATACTGTAACTGTAACTATAATATATACAAATACAAATAAGGGCAAAGCACTTTTACATTTTAATTGACACATTTTTCCATTTTATCCATAAATTATCTATTTCGCTTTTCCCATTTGGGGTCTTAGGGGGGCTGGGGCCAATAAATGTCATTGGGCAAGAGGCGGGTTACACCCTGGACTGTTAGCCAGTCAATCACAGGGCTGACATATAGAGACAGACCACCAGCCACACTCACATTCACACCTACAGACAATTTAGAGTCGCTATATTAACCTAACCTGGGAGGAAGAAGGAGTACCTGGAGAGAACCCACTCATGCATGAGGAGAACATGCAAACTCCACACAGAGAAGCATTGTCAACCAAGGAATTCAAACCAAGAACCTCCTCGCTGCGAGGCGACAGCGCTAACTGCACCATTGTTCAGCTATGCACACATTGTCCATTTTAGACAATGCAGCTTATATTGCTTTTTAACTGTAGTCTATAGTAAACAGCACTGATTTTATTGCCTTTATGGTTGTGACATAATGCAGACAACAACAAAAAGTAATTCATAATCACATCCCAACTCCATGCCCTGCCGGCCCTCCTCTCCACCCAGACACTGGCTGTTAAGACTGTGAGGTTGGTAGCGGTGACAGCAGGACAGAAAGCAGGCGGTAGAAAGCTGACATGAGGAGAGAGCTGACAGGGGGAGATGGAGGGGGAGTGTAGAGAGAGAGAGAGTGGAGAGAGGTTGTTTGAAAGGTAAAAGCATTGCCAGGGAAGTTGTGGAATTGGTGCATTAAAGAGAAATGACAGAGAGGAGCGTGAAAAAAGTGGTTATAGCAAAGACCTGCATGCAGGTTGATTTACAAGTGATTTCTGATGATGGAGACCCCTGTGAGTCTGATTGATAATGGCAAATCAGCAAAGAGACTTGAGTGCTCTGTGACGAATTTCCCCCTCATGATTTGTACTCTCATCTTGTTATAGTAGGCCCCCACTCTGGAATCGGCTAGTAAAGTTTCCAGGCTTAACAAAGCTCACATTGACTAGAGAGTTTTGTACAGTGGCACTGAAGGTTAAAACACGGTAATATTTCACACATTTACAAAACGCCAGACACTTTTTAAACTTAGAGAAATATTTACAGAAAAATCATAAAACACAAATTTTGTCATAGATGGAAAAAAAATATATCTTTTTTTTTTACCAACAATGAAAAAAAATCCCAAAACATAAAGACTTTTCATCAAACACAAAATACAGCTATTACCTTCCCATGAAACAAAGCTTCAAGAGTATCTAACTATTACTTTTCTAAATAGCTAAGAAGCTGAAATAGATAGCCTTTTCTTTCTATCGTCTTTAAATGTACATGCCTCAGAAATACGAGATCCAAGACAAATCTTTTGAAACAATCAGTGTCCCAGAATCATTCTTTGTAGGACCTGCAGCATCAACACTCATGAAACTCCTCTTGCAGGTGGGCTGGAGCTTCTTTGCAACACTGTACAACATTAAAGGGATACTTCACCTATTTTCATTAAGCTTTGTATCGTTAGAAACCTGGTAGTATTTTTGAATGGTCGTCCATCCCGCCCTCATTTTCCCCTGAGCTCCGTATTTATTGTCTGAAAAGGAGCCTCCGATGACACAAAAATCATAATTTTGCGTCATCGGAGGCTGCTTTGGTTAGAGGGGGTGAAACTACATCGCTAGTTCTGAAGCTACAGACCTATTACAGATCAGTGGGTGGGACCTCATTCCCAGAATCAAAACTCAACGTCCGCCATCTTTCTTGGAAGCTATGCTAACAGGCTCTGTGGAGAAAGTTGAGAAGAACGAAAGTATGATAAAAGTATGTTTCAACTTCAAACTGATATGGATGAAGGGGATTTTGAAGGTCTTGTGTGCGAATCGGATGTTCGTGGCTATCTCTACGAGCCGCAATACAGCAACGAGTCAGCTGCTGCCTACAGGCAGGTCTTCTGCCTGAGGTGGTGAGGACGAGGAGCCCCGGCCGGCTCGAGCTTGGGCAGACTGGTGGTGTCTGTGTTCTCACTGTTTGCCTATGGACACAGACTTTGAAATTCCTGGCAGAAAACAGACTCTAAGATGCTAATTCCTTCTAGAAGATATCTCGGAATCAGTTGAGGAAATGGCCGTATGTGTTGTAGTAAATGTCTATAAATAGAGGACCTTAGTGGGAGTGGCCTGCGGTGCTGTGCATTCTGGGATTTGGTGTCTTTCATCCACATGAGCAAAAAATACATTTTCTGCCTTTTCTCGGCCAAGAAGGCACCAACTTCAAAATTTATTTAACATTTCTACTACATATATGACCCAATGTCAATACAGAATCATGTTTCAACAGGTGAAGTATCTCTTCAAACAGAAAATAAAGAAAGTTCTAGAAGTTAGAAGCTATTGTTTGAGTATTTTTACTGTTATTTAGACTCCTGTATCTTGTTTCATCTGGAACAGCAGTCTTTTCCCCATACAAGGCAGATTAACCTTACTTTGAAAAACTTGATAAATCTTATCTGTTAATGAGGATAAAGTTCACAGCAATGGCTCCTAACTCTGACAACTTACCCTCATAATATCTGACTTCTGGAACTTGATTTAACAACAGCAAAATGAAAAGCTTTGACAAGATGAAGAGAACAAGAATTGTAAGCTGTTCATTTTGTTTCAGGCATTGCTGTTATATTCACAAGTAAAAAAAAAAAAAAGACAAAGTATGCTGGGGTTTGCTCTGAAAATTCCTCTATTCCGTATGAGTCTTCTCCCGTTGGCGAGGCTTTGACAGCTCAAAGTGCTGCACGCTATCAAAGCTAAGTAGAATCCTGTCATGAGGACATGAACGGTCCTGAAAGATACATCCTCACCAATCTGATCGCACTTTTCGCCCTTTCATTCAAACCCCCAACCCCAATCCCTGCACTCTGCCAGGGGGTGGAAAAGTGCAATCACTGAGACAAGGCGTTCAACTAATGCTGAGAGTCACATCAAAACATGTCATGACATCCCTCTTCTGAAATTACTTTCCTGAAGTGTTTGAGGGATGAGGGGCGATGTCTCCTGAAGCCAATC